AATGCAACTATTGCCACTGCTTCAAATAATGCAACTATTGCCACTGCTTCAAATAATGCAACTATTGCCACTGCTTCAAATAATGCAACTATTGCCACTGCTTCTAATAGCATCAATGCTGTTGATACAGGATTGACAACCTCACATTCCAATTTAAATCCCTTTTCACCTAATCCAAATTTTAATATAAATACTCAAAATGCTGCACCCATACCTCAAAAACTTATACCCCAGTCACCATTACAATCACAATCACAGATACAGCAGCCAATGCAACATTTGCAACAGGAATTGCAACAACGTTTACAACTGCAGCAACTGCAATTATGGCGGCAGCAGCAGCGGAGTGAACAGCAGCAACAGCTACTGCAGAAACCACTGCAATGGCAATTACAACTGCAGCAACAGCAGCCACAACTGCAGAAATCACTGCAATGGCAATTACAACAGCAGCAACAACTACTGCAGCGATTACAGGAACAGCAGCTACAATTGCAGAAACAGCAACAGCAACAGCAACAGCAACAGCAACAGCAACAGCAACAGCAGCAACAGTCACAACAAAATGTAAATACTTCATATCAACAACAAGAATTGCAACGACTGCAGCAGCAGCAGCAATTACAGCAGCAGCCACAACCACAGAGACTACTGCAATGGCAATTACAACAGCAGCAACAGCAGTCACAACTGCAGAAATCACCACAATGGCAATTACAACAGCAGCAAAAGCTACTGCAGCAATTACGGGAACAGCAGCAACAGCCACAACAAAATGTAAATACTTCATACCAACAACAAGAATTGCAACAACAGCAGCAGCAGCAACAACAACCTCAACCTCAACCAAACCCAAATCCTCAAAATACACAACAGCAATCCATTACTAGAGTTCCACAGAATTTTTCTCAACATATTCAAGGTCTAAATTCACACTTAACCCAACAATTTCAACAACTTCAACAGCAGCAACAACAACAACAACAACAACCTCTGTTTAATCAACAAGACTGTAAGTGATGATTTTATAGTTTATAAAAATTATTATTTGTGTTTATTCTTCCTCATTAAAATAATTATATTGAATCTCTTTTTTAAGTAGTTGGTGATTCAAGGTATATTGCTCAAAAATATAGTTTTACTATAAATGGTAAATAAAGTTTTTATTTTTTTTACTTTCATAAAATCTTCAAATTCTAATGAGATTTATTCAATTACAGATTTATTATCAAAGATTGGTAATTGATAGATAACTTTTTATTTATTTATTTATTTATTTATTTATTTATTTATTTACACTGCACCTGTGCCTTGTTTTTTTAATAATTACACAATAGAATAAAATTATAAAAGTACATTTGTTTTTTATGTTGTGAAACACGTGATTTCAATTGAATTTAGAATATACATGATATGGTAATTAGCTAATTACCATAAATACATAATTCGTAATTAATGTAATTAATTACCACTTTCACTCTTTAAAAACGTAATTACATAATTAATTACAGGCGACAAATTAATTACTATTGTGAAAATTTTCTATGCAAACCATTGTTAACACTATACATGGGATGGTAATTGCATAATTACCATAAGTACATATACAATGTCTAGACAAAAGTAGGGTATCAATGATGGAATCACTTATAATTAAACAAAATGTATAAAAGAACTTTGAATTCCATGTAAAAATAAATTAGTTTTAACAAATAAAATAATTATATAATGGTTCTTGATAGACCCAAAATTGTTTGTAATAATTCCAACTTTTAAATTTTTAAATTAATATAGTTGCCACCATCACAACTGATTTTGATAATTGCCTATTTCTCTTGTGCAAAATAAAAATAATTATTTTAAAAAAAATGAAATTCCAAAAAGTAGAAAACAAAACAATGGACTCAATAGAGTGTCACCTTGAGGATACTTGTATAAAGCATCAACTAAATTCTAATGATCAAAATTTTCAGCAGTTCATAAAGCTGACATTCCTTCCATGTGGTCATATTTATCACAAATATTGTTTACGACTACAAGTGTCTATATTGTTTAAAATACATATTCATAGACTTAAAGTGAAAAAGATTTTCCAATATAGTTGGCTTGGTCTAAAGACCTCCTAAATTTTGGGCAAATTTTAAAATTATAAAAGTCATTTTCAGTCCTATTTTTTAAAAAAATAGCTTTATTAATGTAATAAAGAGATTTTCTCAAAAAATTCTTTGTTGTAGAATTCTATTCTTTTTTAAAACATGTACTTTACTATGCTCATGAGAAATTCGAGTGCTAGGATCATTTCTAAATTTAGACTAGTTTTTGATCATCACTGAATTTAGATAATGATCGACCATCATATCTAAATTTGGCAGTAAGGAAAATAATTTTTTAAGCAAATCATGTGAAACTCTTTTTAAAAAATTTATTGCATTTTTGAATGAATCATGAAATCGCAATTTTTGAAATTTGAGCACATGGTGCAGCAATGTCTTGGTAAACTCCAGAGCTTTGTGTCTCCCTGGAATTTAACATCATTGTATCATTGGGAGAAATGTGGTCAGATTAGCCTTATGTACATGAAGAATGTGTGAGAATGACTGTAAAGTGCTGAAGGCAGTGTGCCTGCTATTTTCCTGTAATCAAATGTCACATACTCAAAATGTCTCTTTTTCAATGGTGTGCTGCCTTGACATCTTGTAGTTAAATTATAGTAATATTGGGCGCCTTCAAAAATTATTAGATTGAGATTGAGATTGAGATTGAGATTGATTTCGATCTGTGTTCAAAAATTTCCATATTGAGATTGATTTCGGTCTGAGATTGAGATTGAGATCGAATTTTAATATGAAATTTCAATCTAGGTCAGGTAGTAAGATTGAAAAAATAAACA